CTACACTGCCATTTACTATTTGAGTTACAGTCATTAATTCAATAAAAATGTCAGGAATGCAATGAAAAACAAGACAACCCTCAAGAAGCTTATGGTAAGGAGACTTCGGGCAATCCGGTAATCGCAGGTTCCTTGTAGGTAAACAGGGATTTTTGCAGGATTGTAGTGAGGATTAAGTAAGTTAATGTATAAAAAGCATATAATAGGTATCTACTAATTCATTGTAGAGCTATTTGTGAAAGTGAAAGACTGGAAAGAACCAAGCCGTATATCGATAATGGACTGGTTGCATAAACAATGGTATATCTGCACAATGGAGTAGTATACAACTGTAAAGAAGAAGGAGGAATATATGTGTATACTGCTATGGAGTGATCTCTGGGATATATTGTTAAATAAAACAAGGAGTGGGGTGAGAGAGGGTTGAATAGGTGAAGCACGAGGGATTTTTTCAGGGCCTTGAAACTATTCTCTGTGACAGTGTAATGTATGGCACTATGCATTTTCCAAAACTCATAGAACTTTACTTTAGAAAGAGTGAACTTTATATTGTACATAAATTTAAAAATATCATTTAGGAAGTCAAAGGATCCCAGATATAATGCAGACTTTGACAAAAGAATCCAACCATAGGAAACAACCTCTCTGAAGAGGGTGGGGGAAAAGGGTGCTAAACTAAGTAACTCTGAAATTGAGTGAATTGTAAGACTAAAGGTAAAAAGACATGCACAATGTAGGCTACTGTAGTCAATAAAGTTGTTTTTCACAGGTGTATGGGCTAACTGTTCTGAAGCCTCTGTACATGTATACTAGAAATGATTATTAAGTAAGTGGATAGGCGACGGTAGGAGCCAAGTTTCTCACTTTTGGAGTGGAAGTTTACAGATAAGCAAGGGATAGGGGGAAGTGACTACAATGATCCAGGTACCAGGTGGTAATGCATTAGAGTTGTAAGACATCAGTATGCATACGTTTAGCTTACAGATTGAAAGAGATAGCTGTGTACATTTATGTATATGTATATATATGTTATTACATACAATATACATGAATACATATAGAAATATTTATAGATAAGTGAATATAGAGGGCAGAGTATTTATACATATTTTTCCTCCTTCTGTCAGCTGAGAGAGCCTAGAAGCAACAATAGCCCAGTGGCAACAAGCACACCTAGTGCTCAAATCTTGGTTTCTAATACCACTTTACAATAAGAGGAACCAGGGATCCTTGGAGAAATGGCTGATTCTAGGTCTAAAGCATCTGTGCCAGAAAGTAAGGAAATACTCAATAAAATACAATGATGGGAATATGTCAAAGGAACGATATAGCTAAAGTAGGAACAATCTGAGTAACAAAATAAAGAAAGTGGTATTGGATTATAACCCAAAGTACAAAATAAGTATCCATGAGGCCATACTGATATAAATCAATAATTCAATAAAGGGGTCATGAGACAAATCCGTGCAAAAGAATTTCAAGTAATTCATGTGCATAACCTGCCCTTAAAGAAGTAGAGCATAACTCCTCACTCCTTAAGTGTGGGCTGTGCATGATGACTTCCTGCCAAAGAGCATAGTATGAGAAAGGGGAGAAAGAGTAACTTTCCTAAGTTACTAGGAAATCACTACCTAAGCCATGTGATCAAGATTAACATCAACAGTGACAACTTGTGTTGCTAACTTTTACCCTTAATATAATCTGATGAGAATGGCATTTTACCTCTGTGGTCTTCCTCCCCGAAATGGATAGCCCCAATCTAATCATGAGAAAAACATCAGAGACATCCCAGTTGAGGGACATTCTACAAAATATCTGGCCAGTACTCCTCAAAACTGTCAAGGTCATCAAAAACAAGAAAAGTCTGAGAAACCATCACAGCCAAGAAGAGCCTAAGGAGACATGCCAGGAAAATGTCAGGATGACTTCTGGGTGCACCTCAGAACCCTAAGGTGGGGTGTAGGTATCAACAGACACCTATACAAAGCTTGGGGAAGCATCTGTATGAGGGTGCAGTTATGGCATCCACCAATTTTCCTGACCTTCTGTATCACAGGCCGAAATTCTTGATCTGACAGTGCCACACAGATTAAGTGCTCCGGGCTAAGGTTGCAACCATGGTTAAGAAATTAAGTTCTAGAAACAGACCTCAATTGGCATCCTACTCCACCAATTTGTTACTTTGAGAAGATTACTAAACATTTCTGTGCCTCTTTTCTCATCATCTCTAAAGTAGGAATATTATTGTGACCCTATCATATTGTTGGTGAGGAGCAAATAAAGTACATAGGGAGCTTGGACCAGTACTTAGCCTGTAGCTCTCAATAAATGTTAGTCATTTACTCTTGAATTTTGTATATGTATTTTCTCCTGACAGAATTTAAGAAGATTGTTAACGAGGTATTGGAAAATCGAAAAGACAAAAGGCAGGACTGAGTTATCACAAAGGTACTCATTACAGGGAGCAGCTACCACGCTATATTGGTGACTCAAAGGAAGGAGTTTGAGTTTTATTTTTTATTTTTTTCATTAATGGCTTTATTGTAAGATAATTTACATACTATAAAATTCATCCATATGCTTCAAAGATGTTTTAGTAAATGTATACAATTGCGCAATCACACAACAATCCAGTTTTAGAACATTCGTATCACCTTCCAAACTTCTAAACTTCTCTCAAGTCTATTTGCATTCCATGCCCCTGGTACACTTACCTCAAGTAACTGATTTCTGCCTGGATAGATCTGCCTAGCAGAAGTTTCTTTCTCTCTTTCTCTCTTTCTCTCTTTCTTTCTTTTTAAATCCAGTAGTAAAAGGAGGTCATGCAAAATATGTGCTATTTAAGAACAGACTTACCCTTTAAAAATCACCACAAGTTTAAAGTTGTTTAAAAGTCAGTTATGGTTTTAAATAACATGGAAATCGTCATGAAGTAAAAAAGAAAAGAAAAAGAAAAGAAAGACATGTAAGAAGAGGTTCCAGTTTGGGGCGGCTAGAACTGGGGTGCTTCTTCAGCAGGCGAGGAGGGCGTGGCGCGAGAGTTAGAGTACCTCCCCCGATCCCCTCCCACCTAGGGCTTGCTCCCCACCCACATGCACCTTCCTCTCGCGCAGGCGCAGTGGCTCCGGCGTGCAGGCCGGGGCGGGCTGGGCGCAGAACCCCCGCGCGGTTCGCGAGCGCATAGCGATTGCTTCTGTCTGTTGTTTAGTTATGGCGCTGTCAAGGAAGCGCCGGGGCAGAGGGAACCCAGGTCAGGGTCTAGCTCTGTGCTGACGGCGACCCAGGGCCGAGTGGGCTATGGGGGAGCCCGGGTCCTTGGTCATGGGGGTCCGCGCCCGTAGCCGGAGCTGCTGCTTGCGGCGTGTGGGGATGGACGCCGAGTGGCTGCTGCTGGAGGATGGAAACGAGGTGAGCGGGAGGAGTCCTCCTGAGGGAAAGGAGTTAGAGGCCGCGCTGAGGGAACCACGGCGTCCGGGCCTGAGGGATAAATGGAAAAGAGGAGGTGGTCGCGGGGAAGGAGAGGGATAGTTGAAAGTCCTGGGGGAGAGAACGGAGGAGGGGTTCTGGTGCGAGCGGTTGGGAGGTCTGAGGTGGGGGTGCGTGGAAGTAGGGACCGTGTGGGATAAAAGATGACCTTTTGACAGCGGCCTAGGCCTGTGGCGCCACTTGGGGCGGCAGCCCAGGTTGCAGGAAGGAGCCGGGTACAGGGGCACAGTGGGAGGTGGGCGTGGAAGATGTGAGGACCAGCTGGGGTTTCGAAGGGAGGAGGCGATTGGTTTGGGGAGGGGACTGGGACAGCCCCCATTTGGGTCGCTTGGAGCCCTGCGGAGCTCAGCCCGGGCGGCGGAACTGTGAGGCGGAGCTGTCCCAACTTGAGCCGAGAGAGTGAACTTTTTCGAGTTTATTTTGAAAACGATTGTGAATTTTGGGTCATGTCCCCTAAAATACTCAAAACTTTAATGTAAAAATGTCTTCCTTTCCAGCTCTTGAGGAAAATTGGTGCTGTGAGGTGGGCCACATTTATCCTTGTGAGTCTCGGTACTGCCGAGTGGCACCCCCTGAGCTGGGTCGGGGATGGGAATTCAGAAATATAAAGGCTCTCGTCTCCAAGGACTGCTTATATTGTTTTCTAATGTGGTCATAAATTTTAAAAAATTAAAGAGGAAAGTTGAGGCATAGTTTCTTTTGGGAGCCACTAGGACTGGAGTGGTGGTACTAGAGAGTGTGACAGAAGAGGGAGGAGAGTTAGAGTGTAGTCGTCATGAGGAGAGCTAGATCAGGGACCAGCTTGTGGTGACTGGGAACCATTTGGAGTTTGGAAATAATTTGTAAGAAAAATAAAGAAGTCCTTTGAGTACTATGTATGTTTAATTACATTTTTTTCCTATAAACTATATAGTCTCATTTTCATTTCTTAGGTATTTACTGAGTACTTGAATTGTTTAGTGTGCTATAAGAGAGCCAGATAAGGACTTCTGCCCTCAAAGAGTTTATGGTTTGAATAGGGGAAAGAGGATTTTATACAGTGAAGCAGTATGAGAACACCCAGGCAGGCTGTATGATCAAGTGCAAAGATGTGGAGTAGTTAGTACTATCCTAGAGCAGTGGTTCCTCAAGTCAGAGGAGGGATTCAGGTCCAGCCTTACATATTTGTGGATTAGGAGGTTATAAAGGATTACTTGTATGCTATGATTTGAAGAACACCAGGGAGACACCTCTGCCCCCAAATCTCTAATCTCTCCAGGTGTCATTGCCTGCAAGTCCATGTTAGGCATTCCTTCTTTTAGCTTAAGCATTGATCTTTCCCTGCATCACTCTTTGCAAAATCAGACACCTTTGGGAAGTTTAATAAGATACTAACACCGGAATAATAGTAACTATACTATATTTTGTGTAGGGTTTGGGTTTTCACATAATTACTTAATCTAAGCCCTACACATGTACTACATACCCACACACAACCCTATAAGGTACTTAGAGGTCAAGTGTTAACTCATTCTTCAGATTCAATTGCCATGGATTCATTTATTCTAAATAATTTGGTAGCATTGGGAATGTTGTGGGGAGGGGAGGACAGGAAGAATTTACAGCACCTGCAACAAGGACAAAAGGACTAAAAAGCATTCCTAGACATATTTTAAACTGTTGAGTAATATTGTATGGGACAACCTCTCAGGGGAGAGACCAATAGAAACCAGAGTGAATGGTGAAGAAACATGGGAAGACTGGCTTGCTTCATAACCCTGCGTGGAGGAGAAGCCTGCCAGGCTATATGCAAGACTGAGTCTTAGGAAGTGGTTGGAGCATAGCCTGCAGTAAGTATGAAGAGAGGTCTGCGTCAAAGCCAAGAAATGGAGTCTTAGTTATTCTAATGGTCCCAAATCACAGCACAAGCTTGCATGCATATGATTTTAGGAGGTATGCTGACATCATTTAGTTATAATAGCAGAGTAAGTTTTCTGCCTTCCCAGTTCCTCTCACAGTCTCAGATTTCACAGATAAAATAATAAAACAAGGTTCCTCTCATTTCACTGAAGGAAATACTATAGTAAATTGTTTGCCTGAATGTGCATTTTGAAATTTCTTAAACCAATCCAGAGAGTTTGCTGGAGAAATAAATTAGATAGAGATTTATTGCATATTAGCTAGTTTCCTGGAAGTATAGGCATCTAGGCCTTTGGGAAAAACCATAATATCTTCATTTTCTCTATTTTCTTCTCGTGTTTGATTTTCATGAACTTTTCTATCCTAAGAGGGTTGGAAAAAGGGACAGAGTGATTCTAGAATATTTGCTGGTCATCCGGGAAGCAGTAGGAGTCATTCCTAGGAGGAAAGGGATAGGATTAGTGAAGGTGAGTAAGGACAAAGTGATCTTGTAGACCAATGATGTCAGTAGGCTCAAAGCCTTGCAAAACTGTTGTACAGCAAATGGGAACACCCCCAACATATAAGTTGGCACTCAGTTCCCATGGGAAATTCAGTTTTGTGTTACAAATGATGATGGAATATCCAGATAAGCTCACTGCAGACTCTTTAGCCATGGTATACTAAGGTAAGTTCTAGGACCAGACAGTGAAGGAAAGGATGAAAAATAGTATTGTCCTCCTTTTTTAGATTCAGAGTGTGCAGGAAGCAATTTCAGAAAAAGGGACTCATCTCCCTTTTCTATAATACTTTCCCCAGGCTACTCACAATGGCACTTTGACTGTCTCCCCTCAAGTATTAAAATGGAATGCGGAATACTTCCTTTATTGGAAATAAAACTACCTAAATGATAATTCTTACTGAATATGGATGACAGATAAATCCTTAAACATTTTATTTATAAAAGATATATTATTATTCAGAGGAATTTCCACAGTTAATGGAATTTCTGGCAAACTGTCAAAGAACAGAAAAACTTCAGACTCAAGGTTTTTGTAGAGGTGGGCACCACAACATTTTAAAGAGAACAAGTCAGGTTGTAAGAGTTCCTGGCAGCTTGTGGCTCCGTAGTTTCCAGTGGTAATAACCTAGTTTCCAACTTCGGACCTAAAAAAACACCCATCCTAGAATCTGGGAGGACTTGTAAGTAAGATCTTTTTATTCCATTATTCACAGATACCTACTGAGCACCATGCCAGGTACAGAAATGCAGCGGTACACAATACAGATAAGGTCCCTGCTCATGAAATTTATATTCTAGTAAGGGGGGGATGGAAATAAGTAAAACAAACAAGTTAATTTTGGATTGTGATAAGTGCACCCTAATAACATAAAGGAATGTGGTAGGGTAGGACAGAGGGGTGGCGAGCAGGCAGCAACTTTTGATAGAGAGATCTGGGTAGGCCTCTGAGGACCTGAAACTTGAAAGATGAGAAGGAGCCTGTGCAAATGTCTTAGAGAAGAGTGTTTTAAGCAGCTGGGACAGGTGAAAAGACCCTCAGGTAGCAGGGAGTGTTTCTGACCATAGTACGAGATTAGTCTAAAGACGTGGAGAGAGTTAGGACATTCAGGGCCTTATAGGCTATGGGAGGGAGTTTGGATCATTGGAGAATTTTAAGGAAAGAATGGAAATGATCTGACTTAAAGTTTTTACATTTACAATTGCTGCGTAAAGAATTAAGTTTAGGAGGGCTAGCATAGGAGCAAAAACAGCATGACTGGAGGGGGCCAAATTATTTGGACTGTGGTAGTAGCCATAGAGATAGAATTTAACAGATTTAGAACGTATCAAATTACAGCCAGTAGAATTTGCTAATGATTTGAATGTAGGCATGAGAGACAGAAAAATTAAAAATGGCTCCTGAGTTTTGGGATAAGTAGATGGTGCATGGTAGTGTCAGTTACTGAGATGAAAGTTTGTGGGGAAGAATAGATCAGGGCAAGGAGAGTCATGGTGATCTTCGAAGGACAGAGGAGGACAGGCATGATTCTGAAAGATTTTTCAAAGGAGCACAGAAGACTGCTTTTAGAAAACCACTGACCATTTGGCTTAACGTTCCCGAGTAAGGTTGTGGTATGGGTCATCAAAGAGGTGGCTTGTGCACCAAGAACAAGCAGAGAATTGTAAGAGCTGGATCTCAGAAGAATTTCATTTTCTTCCCGACAAGTTTATTATGAATTAGATTGGCCCATCAGGAAAGTATGATAGATGTGAAAGTATGATAAAGGTTGCTTCTTTGCAACCTTTTCCAGGGCCTCTTTTGTTGTCCTGTGATTAAGACAGAAAATATGGACTCGATGCAGATTTTTGGTTGAATTACAACTGGTTGAGGTGTACCCAGATTGTGTGGTAGAATGTATACTAGGCTTTCCTGAGAGCTTTGCCTTTGTGTCTTCTCTCAGTATTTTACCTGTGTCTTGAATGAAGTTACAGAGGACATCATATCAGTTTGGTGGTTGACTCAAAGCTGGAAGGGGTACTGAGAATGTGATGGCAGATTAAAAATTCATTCATAAAGATATTGCCAAATTAATGTGATAGGCTAAACTAACACGATTAATTTTACTAGAAGTCAATGTAAGGTCCTACACTTGAATCCGAATTTACCAACTAGTCAAGAATAGGACAGAAGAGACATGACTTAGCGTAGCAATTCTTGGGAGAAGGTCAGACCAAGAAATTTAATCATTTGTAAGCCTGAGGATACTTTGGCAGTGTATAGATCTTGCTATGAAAACTAATGCAATTTATATGCTCCAGTGATAATATTTAGAAATGGGAAAGTGATACTTGGATTCAACCATGTAATAGAAATTAAGTTTATTTTTCTTAATATGACATCTAGGAATAAAAATAAGCCAGGAATTTCTTGACATACCTATTAGGTTAGCAAAGAGACTCAAACACATACCATGAGAGGTTGGTTGAAGTAACTGGGAACATAGGGCCAAAAAAAGAGAAGACTTGGTAGACACTTACAGCTGTCACATGGGCGGGGAATTGGAGATTTTCTGATGGTGCCCAGGACAGAGCCAGGACCAGTGGATAGAAGTTGTAGTGAGAAAGATGCCAAATCAGAGCCATTAAAAAATTGGAGAGACCATCTTGGGTATAGAGGCTATTGTTCCTGGCAGCATTTAAGACTAGCTGATGAGGTATGTAGAAAGAATTCCTCCATCTCATGACTTTTCAGGGTCCTACCAATTCTGACATTCCATGAATAACTGTCTTTTTGCCTTTTTCTACCTGGTGGCTCCTCTGGCAGCTGAAGGAGGACATAGCTGATGAGCTGTTTGGGTTTCTTAGGAGTCTGGTATTGTAAATCAGGATATGTGTATACTGCTGGTCAGTGAGATTGTCAAGGACCTCCCTTTTCACCACAATGGTTGATGGTGTCTCTTACATTGTTGTTGTCTTCCTAGGTGACTATAGGGCGAGGATTTGGTGTCACATACCAACTGGTATCAAAACTCTGCCCTCTGATGATTTCCCGAAACCACTGTGTTTTGAAGCAGAATGCTGATGGCCAATGGACAATTATGGACAACGAGGTATGGTAATCTGTAGATGCCTAATGACTTTCATTGAATTTTTGTTCATTTTAAAAAATTTTTTTGTCAAAGGTAGTAAATACGTGGTACAAAAGTTAAAGATTCAAAAATATATCTTCTCCCCTAGCCACTCAGTTGTCTTCCCTAGAGACAACCACTTCTGTATGCTGCCAAAGATTAGATTATGCCAAAATAATTTCTGAGGACTTGAAGTGAGTTACTTTGAAGGGAACACCTCAATTGCGGCAGTAGGTCCTACTTCAGAAACTAGGCTGAGTTACAAGAGGAATTGGCTCTTTGTAACTTGAAGGTCCCGGAACCTTGGGAATCTGGTGAAGATTCTGGAGTACACCTGTGGTTCAGGGCATGGGGAGGAGGAAGGAGCTGAGCTGACTGCACCTAGCTCCTTCCTCTTTCCACCCCTTTCAATCAGAGCAAACCATCTCTCTCCTTTTTAAACCTATTTTATGTATTGGTATTCTGAGGAAGATTTCCTTTGAATAAAAATTTTTCTGCTTTAAATATTTGAAAATTGTGAATACTAAGGGAGGTGAAATAATGTATAAAGTTCAGCAATTAGGAAGTACCTAAAGTGCAGATATGCAAGCACGCAGGAATACAGTGAAAATAAAGAATATGAGGTGAAAGAAATTCTAATGTAAAAATTAAAGATTAAGAAGTATAAAATGTCTTCAGACACCATTTTATACTGTTCTGGTTGGAAGGATTTTAAAGATAACTGTTAGAAGAAAGTGTATTAAAAGGGTTCTGAGATGAAACATTTGGTTCCTATGTGTGGGGAGGGTTACCCACACCACCACGCAATGCTTGGGACACCAGCTGAGTGTCCTACAATTCTGACACTATCTACCTGGAGGTAGCATCAGATCCCACAGGTAAACATTTTAGTCTCACCAGACTGCCCTCCACTTCAGAACCATGCTTCTGACCAAATGGTTATAAAGTGGAGGTTCCAAGTACCCCTTCCTTGGACTTGAGATGCCAGTCATAAGTCCAGGTTGTTAACCTGGACTTCTGATCAGCTGGCTATAAATTAGAGGTTTCTCTGACCTCCTTCCACTTTGGATTCAATTAATTAGCTAGAGTGACTCACAGAACTCAGGGAAACATTTATTTACATTAACCACTTTATTATAAAAGGGTATAATAAGGGCTATACAAATGAACATCCAGTTGGAAGAGATGCATAGGGCAAGGTTTGTGGGAAAGGGCATGAAACTTTCATGCCCTGTCAGAGTGTGTCACTCTCCCAGCACATCCATGTACTTACCAACCCAGAAGTTCTCTGGAACCTGTCCTTTTTTGGTTTTCATGGAGGCTTCATTACATAGGCTTCATTGACCATTGGTGATCAATTTAACCTCCAGGAGGTCAGGGAGTGGGACTTAGAGTTCCAGCCCTTCAATCACAGGATTGGTTCCCCAGGCAACTAGCTCTCATCCTTCTGTGACCCTGGGACATTCCCAAAGTCACCTACTTAACATAACAAAAGACACCTTGATCTCACTCACCACTTAGGAAATTCCAAGAGTTTTAGAAGCTCTGTGCTAGAAATGAGGATGAAAACCAAATACAAATTTACTATAATTCACAATGTCCTGCCTCATTTTGCATGCATAAAACTATTAAAGCTGTTGGAGAAAGTACCTTCCTGCACTAGGATTAAGTTGCGTTGGCACTGTGTTGAAGGAGAGGCTGTATAAATGCTAAGTAAATTGGTTCAGCACTCTTGGCAAGATAGTATGAGAAAAAAAATGGGCACTGAAAAAAGGACCTTAGAGATGATCTAGTTTAACCTCTTTTGGGGACAGATAAATCTGAGACCCAGAGAGGTAAACTGACTTGCCCAGGGGCCTTGTACATAACTGACTAGTTGAGTGAGTGAATAAGCCAGGGCTCAAACTCAAATAAGTCTCTCTTCTCTGCTCCATTGTCAAATACCAGTACAGGACACAAGCAATTGGCTGCTATACTGGCTGCATGATTTTAAAAAATTAATTATGCATATTTAAGATAAAGCAACAATGCCTTAAAGCCCCTGTAATAGCTTATATCATAACACCTTAGGAAAAGATGTTTTCTTCATTGGAGTTGGCTATCTGAGAAATGAAGTTATAGTATTATAGAGGTGAGTTGTCTGCTGCTTCTTTCCTTGATTATATGCAATATAGATGTGTTCCATTGTTGGGATAGCAGATTTTGAGAGGTTGAGAAGCCACTGGCTGACTGATTTCCTTGAACAGCAACCTCAGGGACACAGAGGCAGCCTTTGCCAGCAACAGGTCTTGACTGTGCTCCCCAGATTGCTCTGCAGTGTTCGTTTTGTATCCTTTCTTTTAGGGCCATTGTCTGAGACAGATCATATACAAGAAAGGTAGGCACCTGATTCTTCCAAGCCACTTAGTTCAAGCCACTTAGCTTCAATTTGGTTTGTGAGGCAACTCTGACTTTTGAGAGAAGTTATAAGTGGGGTCTTTTGATGGAGCAACTATTCTTATAGGTAAGCCCCTCCCCCCACCTCTTAATAGATGCTCCTTTTCTTTCTGGCATAATGCCTTGGCAGCCCTCTTCTGATGAAGGATTTGAATTTCAGGTACAGCATATTATTGTTACGGTTCTACCTGAAGTCATTTGCCAAGTCTTTTCAAGAAGTAGATATTTTTAATAATTCAAAACTCAGAACTACATTCTCTCTTCATAAAATGGTCTCTCTTCTATGCTGGGATTGTTACCAGCAATCAGATATCTGTGTTGTGTGATTCTGGAGCTTAGTCATTGGATCCCCCATGAAAGATTTGCGTGGAGGTCCGATGCTCAGAGAAGAAAGACAGCAGGCAAAAAGTAGCAAACAGAAGTGATGTATTAAGCAAAGTACACTTGGGAGAAAGTCCAAGCAGACATCTCGATAGAGGATTGAGGGCCCCTGAGAAGTTGTTGATAGGGGTTTATATGGGCCATAGGTTTCTTTGTTCTCCTTCTGTCCCTTCCATCTTGAATAATGTGAATTCCCTGCACCTTCCTTTGAACCTCCCACTCTTGGCCCAAGCACATGTAGTGTGTTCCTGTAGATGGGAAGTTATATGCCTGCACCGTGGGGATTTTGAGGGTATGCTCAGCTAACTACTTTTGCCTAAACCTGTTGCACCACCAGAGTAAGGTCATTTAATGATTATCTGTAGTTAACTGACCAGAGGGAATGAGGTAGGCATCAGAAGCTGCCAGGTGTCTTGCTTTCTGTCTGACTTCTGACCATAGGAAAATGAGGGAGTCACCTGAAGCTGCCTGGTGTTTGTTATGTACATTTTATTTCTAGACCCATCTTGGGGCCTCGCTAACCCCTTATTGTCCTTTCCCCTCCTCATATCAACCTATTTGCCTACCCTATCAGAATGGCCAGAAAGGGAAAGCTTAAGTACAGATACAAAAATTACAACAAATGAAGTTTTGGTTTAAAATTGGCTGAGGGAGATTCTGGGAAACATGGCCGAGTGAGAAACGTCCCCAGATCTCTCCCCTTGAAACAACAATAAGCTGAACATCTAAAACTGAACAAAAAAACACCCAAACTGCACACCAGCATGTCTGAGTATGGGATCTGCTCATAAGAACTATCACAGGTCAGAACCCCAGGTGTCAGGTGGTGGACTTGAAGAAATAAAGAAGCTGCCTGTCGCAGTCTCCAGAGCTCCTTGCAGGAGGAGGGAGAGAGGTGAAGGTGCAGCAACTTCCCTGAACAGCCCTGCCTGGAAATACCACGACTTCTATGCAGCCGGCAGCAGGACCCAGTCATCAGGGCAGAAAGCAGAGAAGCAGGACGGGACTGCAGAGAAACAACAGTTGATTTTTACCGGCCCCAGTTGCAAAACCGAGGCTGAGCTGCCTTCTAACTCCCACCCAAAGGGCCCCTCCCCCCATACCCTCCGAGACTGAACACCACGGAGTCCGAGGGTAATCTGAACAAACGCTGCTAAGGCTGCTATTACAGCCTCTGGAGTTCCCTGCAGGAGGAGGGTGAGGGGAGAAGGTGTGGTGACTCCCCTGAACAGCCCTGCCTGGAAGTGCTGGGACTTCTATGTAACCGGCAGCAGGGCCTAGTCATCAGGGCAGAAGCAGAGAAGCGGGATAGGACTGCAGAGAAACAACAATTGATTTTTACCAGCCCCCAGTTACAAAACTGAAGTTGAGCCACAGCCCCCAACTCCCAACCCAGAGGGCCCCTCCCCGCATATCCTCTGAGACAATCATCAAAAACCTACCAAAAAGTAAAAGTCCAGGACCAAATGGCTTCACCAATGAATTCTACCAAACATTCAAAGAAAATTTAATACCTATTCTCCTCAAAGTCTTCCAAAAAATCGAAGAGGAGGCAATACTTCCAAACTCATTTTATGAGGCCAGTATGATTCTGCTACCAAACCTGGTAAAGATAACACAAAAAAAGAAAACTACAGACCAGTATCTCTCATGAACACATGCAAAAATCCTAAATAAGATACTAGCGAACCAAATATGGCAACATACTGAACAGGTTATACACCATAATCAAGTGGGCTTTATCCCCAAGGCACAGGAAGAGTTTGACATATGCAAATTGATTAATGTGATATACCACATAAGCAAATTAAAAAATAAGAATCATATGATCATATCAATAGATGCAGAAAAAGCCTTCGACAAGATACAGCACCCATTTATGATCAAAATACTTAACAAAATTGGTATAGAAGGATAAACATAATAAAGGCCATATGTAACAAAACCTCAGCCAACATTATGCTGAATGGTGAAAAACTACAAAAATCTTCCCTCTA